GCACACACCAGGGCTAATTTTTAGAAGCCAATGAACCTACCAGTATGTCTTTGGGCTGTGGGGGGAAACCGGATGCCGAGAGTGTATTTATCTCGCAAGATGCGTTCACATGAGATGCTAAGCAGGGCAGGAAGTGGGCCAGGAATGTGCTAAGATAAATAGAAAGTAGGAAACGTTGCCCGTGGCTCAAAATGGAATCAGTTCTGTGAAGTTGTGTCCTGGGAGGCTCTTCTCAGAAACGGGCTCTTGCGCGGGAGTCGGGGATGGCCGCGGTGTGAGGCCGTCTGTTCCGCTGACTCCGTTCTCTCTTCCCGTCGCAGAGTCGCCGTCAGCGAGAGCCACCGCGGGGGCGACTGCGCCGCTGCGTTCCGGGGCTCGGGCGAGGTCTATCTGTACTCGGCCTCTTGCACGCTGCCCTACCAGTGGATCTGCGAGGCGGAGCCTGAGAGAGTGTGGGCGATGGGAGAGGCAAGGGGCGGTCTGGGCAAAGGGGTCAGCCCCGCCCACCGTGGGCGGTATTAAAAGCAAGCATGCGAGAACTAAAACTACCGACTACTCCATCAGCCCTTATTTAATCTTAATTCCACTTTATTCCAGTACGACAAACAGAAGGCTTACAGAACAATGCTTGTCAGTGTTGTAGAGATTTCTCACAGTTCCGGTTCCTTTCCTGGGGGACGCCAGATACCTCAGCTCAGAGACAGACTAGACCTGAAGTGGCGCCGGCTGAAATCAGCGTCTGGCATCCTCCGAGTGCAAACAGGGATCTTCCTCCGTGTATTTCCTGTGGAAACAGGAAAGGGAACGCGGAGGCGAGGCCTTGACCGCCATCTCCTCCCCGATGGGCGGCTTCCAAAACTGCTGGCTTCTGGGAAAGAAAGACTGCATGGTGCACCCCTCAACAACCAAACGCTCTTTTGAAGAAACCAATTATTTGATTTCTTCTCATCAATGAGGATCAGGGGAGTACTATGCCTTAATGTGTATGTGTGCATGTTAAGTGCCTTGGAGCATGTCTTCTGGAGATCAAGAGAATCTGGAATGTGCATAATCAGCGTTAAATCCTTGCTGTGAGAGCAGCATTGCAAAGCCTGGTGCTATAGTTCGGAAAGCCCCGACCAACATTAAGGGCCTTGATGATGGCAGAAGATGGGGGGTGACTTTAACAGTAAGCAAGACCAGGGGACTATCTCAACCCAGGAGGAGGTCTGTTGCACCCAGTGTGTCTATTGCTTTTGCACCGGCCATACAGACACTTAACACTGAGAGCTCTTGACACAAGTCAGGCAAGGTGCAATAGTGTTCAAAAAGTGAAACAGAGTTTTCTAGATATTTGTTGCCTCTGTTCTCATGTGTGTTTCTGTGGGAACACGCTCTACCTGATGGATTACGTTACATCCCTTTCAATACAGGGTCATTTATGCTGGGATTAATTCATAAATAATAAATAAATGATTAACAAATAAATAAATGACATATACCACTCCTTAACACTGCTTGCTGTTTTATAGCACAGATACCATTGCATATACAGTAGTATGCATAATGTAAATATTTATTTTAAAAAGAGTCATGGTTACTTGGAATTGTTTTTAGAGACAAGTTAGTGTGTGACTTGCTGTTTGACAGTGACTTTTCTCTGTTTGCACAGCCTGACTTATTTGTGAGCTAAATTAACACTAATTTCCTGTTTGTGTGCTTGTGTAGCTGCACAGCCGCAAATAGCTTTGAGAAACCTATGTAGGGCAGCACAAAAGACATGACATGATCTTTCAAGAGACCTAAAAATCCTACAGCCACTCTGGTGAGAATCATTCTTCAGCTTGACGCCTCTTAGCCAGCAGCCTGGTACTGAAGGAATTACAATATTCCACTGAAGGAATTCAGTGTAATAGCAACATGGCGATTCCTGTTTTTCAAACCAGATTGTAATGAATATCATTTCACCTTTTAATAATCGGTGGCTGCATGTTGCACAGCTGTAAGAACTAGCTTGATCAGTTTTGAATTAACATGCAGGAAGGTAGCAGAGTCCAAGTGCCAAGCAAAGTGAGCTGTGTATATGTGTAGCAGATCAGGGCTGTGCTGGATACAGTTCATTCTCTCCGTGTTCTTTTCTTGGTAGTCTCTAAGACTTTCGACTACAGTTAGATATGCCAGGATCTTCCAGTCCTCTCTTTCCTTCTGCTCTTTCTGAGAGCGAGCCAGGCTGAATTGTACTGCTCATGGATCAGCACAGCCCTAATGACGTGTGAGGAATTCCAGTGCAGCAACGAAGCAGGATTCAGGTATAGTATAATAACTGAGTTTTCACATGCGACTCAAGGGCCAGACTTCATCTTCATGAAGCTCTCGCTCCAGGTTCTGCTGAAGGCAGGTAAGTGCTCTGTTTTTTTTTTGTTGTCAAGATTTTTAAACATGAATCTGAATTGCGTGTCGTCTAAGTTTGCCCCTTAAAAGCTCAGTCCTCGCTGCACTGAAATAGTCCAGAATTAAAATGTGCTGTGCTTTAGATGCAGCAATCCTTTGCGAGATCAAAGAACAAGGCATGAGGGTTTGTTGGTGGAGCATTTTTTCTGTCTCTGTTAGCAAGACTGGACTAGAGAGAGAGCAGCAGCCAATTAACACAGGCAGTGAAAGAACAAGCTGCACTAGGAAAAGAGTGACGGAGTCGGTCATGCACACTAACTGCCTGGACACTGTAGTACGTTAATGTGGCTTTCAAGAAGAGAGACTGGATATGGCTAATATCAGCAGTATTACTGCATGGCACAGTGACAGCTGAACAACTGTTAAACTGCAGCAGACAGACAGTATCACAGTGCTCCAGTGCAGCAGACAGACAGTATCACAGTGTTACAGTGCAGCTGACAGGCAGTATCACAGTGTTACAGTGCAGCAGACAGACAGTATCACAGTGATCCAGTGCAGCAGACAGACAGTATCACAGTGTTCCGGTGCAGCTGACAGGCAGTATCACAGTGTTACAGTGATCCAGTGCAGCAGACA